CACGCAGGGACAGCGCCGACCGACGGCCGCCAAAAGTGAGACAGTAGAGCTCCGTATTTGTCGGTCGTTCTGCCGGCCGGCGTCCGCCCAGAGCAGAACCCGTTCTCGTACAAAAAGCCCGCCCGGATCAGTGCACGCCCCCCGTGCACGACTGGCGGCGCCGTGCACTGATGGCAGCTGACAGGACGCGGCGCATATCTGGAGCTGGCCGCCCTCTTAACGGCGGTCCGTAACGGCGCTCGGCGCTCCTACGCCTCACGTCATGCGCCCGGCCGACTGGCGGCAATCAGCGGTGATCGACGCTCGCCTCCGTGGTCTGTGCTGACCGCATCATCCTAGACCGCTGAGGCTAGCTGTGAGCATGCAGAAATCAGAGTTCGCATGTTGCCGTGGCTCTACCGAGGCAAGCCCGGCTGTTATCAGCAGCGTCGCAGCCATTGGTCGAATGGGCTTCTCACGAGCGGATGGGCGCGGATCGATGCCGGCTCGCGGGGCAAGAGTGGCGATAGGTCATCAGTGCGGCACTATACGGGCCCTGGCTGGCGCTCGTAATTTTCGGGCTGGAAAAGGCTATCACGCTGGAATCCATTGTTGGACACCGTTAGCAGGCCGGTCAGCAGCGATCGTAACAGGCACCGGCGCAGCAGGCTGAAATCTACGGCGCGTGGGAGATGGCCGTAAGGTTGTCTGCCCTGTTTCAGTTCGTCAGACAGCGTAATTTACGCGTATGACGACGCAAACTGCGATTTAACGCGCATAATGAGTCAGCGGGTAAGGACCGCGGCCAGTGACCTCGTCTCATGACCGCATGCGAGTTTTTACCGGGCGAGATCACGGCCTCCAGGATAACACCCCCGTCACTTGGAACTTGGGCGTACTCCGCACACCACCTCAGGCGCCTGTAATTTGATAATAGCCGTACCTGGTACGGCTATAATTTTCGTTCTTTTTTCACTTAAGTGCAACTTTTTAGTATTTTTGTGCGCGGGGGCCAAGTAATCTGCCCGGGCAAGAACTGGCCAAATAGCCGACCACTGCCACTAAGTGCACGGATAAATCCATTCCGCTGGGCACTCACCCAGCGCCGGTCCGATCGTGTCCAAACAGGCGATCGGCCGGCCGGCACAAAGGGAGGACGGCTGCCAATGCGGAGCGCCGGCGGCGGTCGGCCACGGACGGACGGATTATTCTGCGCCGAGGTGCTCATGGTGGCACCACCAACCCTGGGGCTCGCATCAGGGGCCGGCTCACACATGTTCTGAAGATGTGCGCGGCCCAGGCGGGAGCGTAAATGAGCGACGGACTGCAGCCTCTGGCACTACGCAGAAGTCCGTGTGGGGCAGCACAAAGCCCGGGCACTTCAAACAAGTTCTGGCTCGCGCAACCCGCTAATGATGCCCTCTCATCTGCACTTGACTCTCGCCGCCATTATCTGCGCCCTCACAACCAAGACATATTGAAAACGAGCCATCAAAACCAAATAAGATCTGACCGCGGACTGCTCGGCATCTGCTGGCGGAGAGATCCGGCCCGGCGCCGACAGCGGCCGCACAGCGCCCCGGCGCCGGCAGACCCGCGGGCGTCAGAAGCGCATCTGCTGGTCCGCCCGGAGCCCGCAGACGCCAGGTCAGCCGGCGAGCGGCGCCCGCTGCCGTTCGCCGCGGCCTGGCCGTGGGCGGAGCCGGTTCTGGCCCGCTGGGGGCTGCAGCGCACGGCACAGGGCCGCCGGCCGCGCGGCGGCGCCGCGCACCACGGCCGGCCCGAGGTGTGGAAGCCGGCGACGGGCCCGTTCAGGTTTTAGCGCTGTTCTTGCGTGCGGCCGTTGTCGACCGATCACGGGTAGCCGCACGCGTGGCGGTCACTTATCAGGATGATGCGTGGTTGCGACATTGGGAATAGTTCCAGCGGATCAGTGCTGTCCGGTGGGAATATCTCTGAAATGAACTGCACGGCGTCTGAAGGAAGCTGAAGCTTCAATGCGTTAAACTGCTGTGAGATGCCAGCATAAAGGGTTAAGCAAGCGCATCAACCCTTCCTATGCTCCACTGTAAAATTTTTGACCGAGTCAGTAGTGTTCCATGCTTACAAAGTGCTATCGCCCGAGCCACGCTTCGCCTTATTGCATTACTGTCTCACAGCGACCGCGCAAGTTAACCAGATGGAAACAGCCCCGTGCTGGACTGGTTTGAGTACCATGGGACGGGTCACGTGACCAAGCGGTCTCACACGGATGGGGCCTCGGTGGGCAACTTAAGCGGCGACCAAGCCTGTGGGCCTGCGCTCTGTGGGTCTTGAACTCAGCGTCGGCCCCACTGAATAGTGGGCCCCTTGCAGACTCGCAGGGATTCCACACCCTTGCAAACTTGCAGCATGCGGTGAGAAATGAGGGCAGACGAGAAGAGCTACAAATTTTCAAAACCTTCAGTTGACGTGAGTTCATAATCAGATAACAAACTGGCATTATCATAACCTGAGTCGAGCCTTCTTCCTCGCTCCCCCGATATAGCCGTTCAGCGAAATACTGCATCACCAACTCGAAGGGTCGACAAAGGGCAACAAAGGGTCCCCGCTGAGTCGTGACATCACCACGCGTGGCCTGGCCGGAACACACCAGTCAGCTGACGCTAGAAGACCGTGAGAAACCACCGAGAAAGAACGCTACGGCCAGTTTTCATCGGTTATAGTTTGTTAAATCAGCTGAGGTGTACCCTGCGGGCAGTGGTGAAGGCGCAAGTGAGCTGCAGTTACGAAAACATCGCACCGAACTAAGTGGCCGCGTCTGACCACAACGTTGGAAGTGGACAGGGAATTTATAGATCTCTTTATCTAGCTCTCGTCCTGAACAACTAGCGAAGTAAGGGGACCATCAGTTTCTCGTACCGTCCCGCTTCCCCCAACGAATTCAAGGACGTTCGGCATCTCCGTTCCGCAGTCATAGTAAACCAGAAACGAATTTCGATCCATCGGGATGAGCTGAACATGCGTGATTCACACAGGAATTCCAAATTATGAGAACCTGCCTTGAGCTAGTCAAATCCTTGCCAGCGTGCACTGGTCAACGTGCATTGCTCAACCAATGCCATGCGGGATGGATGTTGTTCTGTCATCCTTTACTTGGCGGCGCGAATTCTGCGTCAGCACCAGCGTGGCCCCGAAAAAGGTTCCATCGATGACTTGCAGTACCGCTTAAGCAGGAAGGCTGTCCAAATAATGACCAACTAACGGCGCGGGCCATGTATTACTTGTTTCCCCGCCGAGCCATTTCCAGTGAGCCTCCCTTTCCTTCCACTATTTTGCAGCTTTTCTCATCCACTTATATTTAGACCCACACACTACGAAGCACCGTTCACAATTGTGCGTCCTGCTCAGAGCAGCTCAGTGCTGCGTGTGGCCGGTCCCCTTCCAGATTCGTGTAGTGGTGCCTCTGACTCTCCTATGCGATTGACCTTTCAGATACGGTCGCTGGTACAGGGGTACTCAAACTGCCCTGCGTCCTCTGCTCAGAGCGTGGCTGCGTCGTGGCGTGCCTTTGGAAGAAGAGCCAAGTGCGACGGGTGTCAGTGGGGACGGGTACCTCACTTTCAGCCAAGTACGAGCGCTTAGCAGTGGAAGTGGAGGTCTGAAGCCACTGCAACGACATGTCAGGGAAGCGCGAGCACGACGGTTGATATCAACTAGAGTGCCCAGGGGATCGAAGGGGTCCTCTAAAGAAGAGGACTTGACACTTCACAGCTTATCCAACTAAATTGCTTCGGTTCACGTGAACGTTGAAGTTCTCAGAACGCTGAGGGCCATGCTAATTCTGTAGCCAGTTTTTCTGCGCATTCGCATAGGACAAATTTTCACAATTTTCAAAAACTGGGGGTCATGGCACAACTCCCCGTTCCGCGCCCGTGGCACGTTGGGACTACGCCTCCCCGGATAATTTGATCCATAATTGTCCATCTATAATGATCGTATGAGCAGATTTACCTTACCACGGCGTAGTTCACGGCATGAACCGTTAGCATTAGAGGAAAATGAGTGAATCTGGCGCAAGGGTCACAGAAACTGTACAGCAAGCCGGACTCGGTGCCCGTGATCTACCGATTAGCGTCGCAGAGGGGTAGTAAGGAATGGCGAGTGGGCATCCAGTTCGTTCTGATACCAGGTTTTCTCAGTCATGTCAATGTGCAGTTTGAATGCGCAGCCATGATTGCATAAAATCCGATTCCGAGAAAGAATTGAGGCGGCCCGGCAGTAGCACGGCACCTATTACCAGCTATTTCTTCTACACAAAAATGTGATGCAAGCAAAAACCGCGGGCGAGCACGAAGCAGCTACAGCATCTCTGCCACTCAGTCTTGGTAACAACAAGAATCAAACTTGCGTGCATTCCAAACTTTCCTGCTACCTCTAACACCCTTGTCACTCTTTTGCTAGTCCTTTTTCAGAATGTTCTTGCCCTTCCTGACTTTTATGCGGGGTTGTTAACGCCCAGCAGATTCCTGGCAATACCGAGGATCGACATTAAGCCATCTGTGGCCTTTCGGGTCATCTGTGGCTTTCTGAACCAAAAAGAAACCTTAATGCTATTTTTGTCAATCCATATTATGCAAGCTCACCATTTCAAGCAGCAACAACCACTCAACTACAATTGTCCTTTTGACAATGCATTGGGTTAGTTAGATATGGCTTGCAGTAGAATGCGCTAGGCTTACATCGATCCAGCCTCCACGACGACAATCCCATTACTTTCGTAACGCATGTCCTCCGTAAGGCCATGATGGCAATCTGCCAGAAATTGTGGCGCGCGCCGGCTCCCAATCCCAGAACTTCAAATTTTATTCTAGACCCGAGAAAGCACAAAAAAATCGGCGTTCGGAACGGATTGGGGAAAACCACATTCAGATTCACACACCACAGGCTATTATTTTCAAATTGCGAGGCCACCCGGATCGTAACCAGTATCAAACATGGTGCTAGAAGGAAATGGACGAAGCCGAAGCATCAGCACTCACCTTTCCCAGGAACTTCCCCTTCAGATAGGTGGTGCGAGTTTGTGGGTCGACGATATACTCAGGCAGCTCGATGTTTTCAGTATGGATGGAATCACTTCGCATATGATGCAGCCTCACCATGCCGTTCGTTGCTGACTTCAAAGGCGCGTGCTGCAGGTTGACTTGCTCGCGCTCGCGCAGGTAGTTTTGGTTTTGCGAATCATGAATATAGTTCGGAGAATCCCTTAGCCCTGAATTGGGAGAGTCACGAAGTCCATCGACACCAGAGTCTAATGAGTTATTCTTCACCATTGCCTCTGTCTTGCTTACCACGGAAGTAACAGGATATGATTCGCGCGGAAAATAGGACGCCGTTATGCGCACAGTTTTAGCGGAAGCGCTCATGGTAGGGCATACACGACGCCGACCACACAATGCACCTGCCAGCAGCTGGTCTTCGGCACCCACAACCGAACGCGACCAGGCTGGCACTGAACGACTGCATGCAGCGCGCGCACCACCACCCCAAACCCCCCAGCTCAGCTGTGTGGCCCGGGCACGTGGATTGTTTTCCTCCGCTAGGAGCTCGATTTTGCCTGTTAGAGCTGTGGGATTTTTCATATTTGACGCCCAAGCGCAACACTAGTTGGGATAATTAGGTAACAAATGCATCAAATCTTTTCAGAAAAGTAATATTTCAGAAAATGCTTACAATAATGTGATGATAACTGCGTCTAAATTATGCAAAAATTGTGTTTCTCAACGAAAAATCATACTCACACCTACAGCTTTGGATCAGTTTATTATGTTACGGAGGGGAGGTCGCATAGTTTCCTTCACCGTCTGCGCGAAGAACCGTAGACAGCGAACGGGCCCAGCGGGCTCAACGTTCTTATAGGTTGTCGGGCCGTGTCCGAAGCCGACCAGCACACGCTGTAAACTGCAAGAGGATGTGGGTAGCCAGGATGAAGTGACGACCATTTCTATCGTCTCGTTCAGAGCATCGTACACAGCAATGTGCGATATAGGTAACGATAATATAACCACGGCATCTCGTCAGATCGAAAAATGTCTGGACTAACTAGCTGCATGGAGTACGTTAAATGGCTTTACCGTTTCGTCCACAAGGACGTGCTACCTGCAGTTTTGTATTTTTGCGACAGGAGGCGAGCGTGTGCCGACCCCCACGTGGAACTTTACGGCCATGTTGTGTCATGTATTACCAACGTACAGTTTCTCGGTTTTATCCCCAATAGACGGCTGACGCTTGTCGATCACTTCCAGTCACTTCGCCAGCGATGCTTTAAATCTATGAAAGTTATGAAGGTGATTTCAGGGACGGCATATGATGCTGATAGGAATACAATGTCGCTGCTGTGTCGAGCACTTATCCACTCTAAAACTGACTACGGGTACATCTCCCACATCCGTTAACCTACTTTGGCTGACTCAGTCGTTCGGAACCCTCCAAATTGGGTCTTGGGTGCTTCCTATTTGAATGGAGGGCACTGCGCTCTTGACGGGAGCACTGAATCATTCGGGGGTCCTCTGCATTAGATATTGAGCGCTTCTTATTTGAATGGAGGGTTCTACGCTCTTTTTGGGAACCTTATCTGTTTACCTGTTCGGGCACACTCGATTATTCGGGGGTCCTTTACATTAGGTCTTGGGTAACTTCTCTTTGAATTGAGGGCCTTACGCTCTTGACGGGGGCCCTATATGTTAACCTGCTTGGGCGCAACTCGATCGTTCAGAGCCCTACACTTTGCGTCGTGAGTATTTCTTATTTGAATGGATGGACCTATGTTCTTGGCGAGCCCCATCTATTCAGCTGCTCGGGACGGCGGCGGATGCAGAGGACCGGGGGGGGGGGGGGGCGGAGGCACGGTACCATGCCCCATGGACCATGCCCAGGTGACCTAAAAAAAAGGCTCCGAAGGGGCCCATAACCGGTCGGACGGACGCAGTTTTCTTACAACAAAACACAACAAAATTGGATGCCTTTGGGCCCATAGACAACCAAGAGCCATTGTTAGCAAAACTAAAGAGTTCACAAGCAAACAAAGTTTATTATTCGCTGATTGAGAACGTGATGCTTGGGGGAAATGTTGGGGCTTATTCCGATCCCTAGAGACATCATGCTGTTGGTTGCCTGGCCCTATATGTCCACTTGCCGGGTCAACCTGATCGCTAAGGGGCTTTCCATGGTGCACTTGATCTCTTTGCATTTTCTCATAGGGCCCAATGTGCTGTTGGGACGCTGTGGGCCTCCATGCCTGAGCACTGTTCATCGATCAGGTTTTCCTCCACGGATTCTTCCCATTCGCCCGAAAGGCTCTACACACCTTTCCGGGGGCCCCATATGCCGGGGCACACTCAGTTGCTCAGCGGCCCTTCATAAAAGTATCGGGTTCTTTTTGTTTGGTTGGAGGGCTTTGTGTTGTTGCTAGGGCCCTCTCAAGGCACGGAGATACTCGATGTTCAGGGGCCCTTTACTTTGATCAGGGCCCTTTGGTCTCATCTGCGGAGGTTTCTTCCCTCCTATTGAGGCTAATGTTGTCAACCAGCCTATGCACTCTTGATCGCACAGAGGTATTAATTTGTGGTCTTGGGCAATTCCCATTTTCTCAGGGGGTCCTGTGCTCTGGCCGGGGCCTTATATGTCAGCCTGGCGAGGCACTACTGATCGTTTAAGGGCCCACCACGTTGGTCTTAGGCTCTTTTTGCTTGCTCTGAGGACCCTATACTTGTTGACGAGAGCCTCTTTGTTGGCCTCCTGCGGCAACCGTGATCGCTCATGATCATGGGTGATGATCATGGGACCATGATCCCTACTGGCCTTGGTGCTTTCGTCTTAGAGCAGCAGTCGAATCTGCGCTGATGAGTTTTTACGCGCAATTACCGAACGTAATGTTACGTGCCGCCGACGGCGTACGCGTCATTTCCATTGGCTATTGAGTGTGTGACACTATACTAGTGCATAGCGTTCTTAACGTGTTTTGAATGCTAGGATATGTTGTACTCCTTTCTTACAAAGGAAAATGTTGCATGAGTCATCAGCCATCAGCTGATTATATCGCACAGGTGGCTGGCCGTCAATACTTAAACCAGGAATTAAGTCCATGCTTGGCTTTTAGGATTGTTAGCAGCCAAGTCAAATTCATTTTGCCTGTTGTTCCGAAACACTTAGCCTCAAAATCTAAGCATTTAAAATTCCCTGTAGAAAATGAGTGAGCTTCAAGCGTATGCATGCGTAGCACGCCTAGCTTTATAAGGCTGTGCACAGTAAGATGAGTGTCCGCATTGATTGGGTAAGTAAATAAACAAATGCATGTGTATATATATATATATATATATATATATATATATATATATATATATATATATATATATATAGGGGAGAGGGGGGAATTGGGACACTTTTGCAACTTCAACTTTGATGAGTCTTTGCAGCAAAAGTATGAAAGGCAGGTAACATTGCACCATACTGATGAATAGATTGGATATTTATTGACGTCATACTAATGAGTAAGTTTCACCTTGTGGTAGGATACGACACGCGTGGAGCAAAAACAAAGATCGTCATTTACAGGAGAATCGGGACGCACGCAGGAGAATCGGGACAAACGTGAATATGGATTGGGACATACTAAGGAGCATTGGGACAACATTTCTACTTGGCTACATGCTCTATAAGTAAATTGCAAATGGTAAAATGAGTGCACTGCATTGCCATCTACTTGTGTTCAAGAGCTTGTCAATGGTCGTGGCAACGTTTCCTTCCGCTGAAAATGGTGGCATATCAAATTCATTTATCTCGTGTTAAAACTGAGACGCAACATTTTAGAACGTGAATTCAGGATATATTTTCCACCTCCAAATAACCATTCTGTTTTTGCCAGAAGAACCCTAACAACGGGAAGGTATTCCTAACATAAAATCCGGCTAGTAGTAATGCCGGCAGTCTACACAACAACCAGACGACACCGCTCCACAACCTGCAGTCGTAATAATCACGCTAAATCATCACAGCCAATGCGCTACTTACGACACAGCGGATCACATGACTATCAACCTTGGCAGTCTAGGCACATACTAGGCAACGACAACGCTCGAAAACTTCCTACACGTCGCATAATCACGTATCAGCACAGCCAATGCGATACTTGTAGCACAAGCGGATCGTAAGACTCACAGTCTCGGCAGCCTAAGCACAAAACAGGCAAAGCAACTGTCACAAAACTTCCTGAACATCGTGCTACTCACGTTGAATCTGCGCAGTCAATGCGTTAATGGCAACACAGCGGATCACATGACTAACAATATCAGTACCTATCCTAGGCACCCATTTAACAACGTACATGGTCACAAAACTTCCTACACATCGTACTAATTACGTTAAATGACCACAGCCAATGCGATACCCGCGACACAGCGGATCATATCGGATTACAGCGGATGAGCGGATCATCAGTCTCGACAGACGTCACATGCAAACTGTGCCTGCCAGGTCGTTGCATCGGTACACGGCAAGCACGCTCACTTTTTGCATGTCGTACACTGGATCCACGATTCACGACTGAGTCTATACTGCATCCCACAGTACAGACACGACGCTTTATCGTCAGCCTTTGGCAAGTCCTTTGCACCCCCCAGCTTTCTCTTCTTACCTTTCGTGTTAGCGGTGTTGCTCTTGGCATCGAACAGTCGCTTTGACACACGCTCGTGTCTGGCTTGCGACTTTCGAGTCTTCTTCTCCTCTTCCTCTTTTTTTCTTTGCAGCTCTGGTGTACTCGTAGCTATTATGGACTTTCCTTTTGTCCGCTCTCGACGACTCAGCTCCACTTTGGGTCCTGCCTTAAAAGATGGAGGACCAGGAAGTGTAAGGATACGGTTATGGAACATATGCATAGGCATTGGACAACATGGCTCACTGGAGGATCCTTTGGGATACAAAACTGTCCATTAAAAAACTACATTTTGACGGAATTACAACATAAGTAACAACCGTAGGAAAAGTGAAAATGAAATGCAAATTATGATCACGACAATATAAGACAGTTCAATAATGAACAATTTTTTTTTTCTTAAGGATCGTATGGGCGATCTGGGGACTGTTTAATGTCATTTTGTCATTGCTGCTTTATCGGTTTAAGGAAGAAGTTGAGATCAAAAGAACTCACTTTCGGATATCCCCGAAACTCCTGCGGTGAGACAAGCCGGACTGCGGGAGATGCTGGGCTGAGTGGGTCACCTCCTTGGACCTCAGCTGGAGCCCGTGACGGCCCAGAAAGTGCATCCGGTTTGTTACTTGCAAATGGTGGCCTTTTCCACTGCAGGTCAGCCGGATCAGTCGGTCTCTTTGACAAGGATGGAGGCTCCGGACTCTCGACGCGGTCCTCTTCGTGTGTTTCCGCTTCGTGTGTGCCATCTTCGTGTGCGCCCGCTTCATGTGTTTGCATCGTGTGTGTCCGCTTCCTGTGTGTCCGCCTCGTGTGTGTCGTCTTCAGCCACCCCGGGCGCTCCTGCAG